TTTTGATGCATGTGGCAACGCCCCCATAACCATCGTTTCTGTCTTTTCGAATTATGTTGTAATTTTTTATGTGGAATCTGTCATTATTTTTAAGCCACGTCTCATTTATATTGATTACATCAGGATTATATTTGTGTATAATGTTAATTAAGTTGTCCCGATTAGCTAATATGCTTCTGGCGTTCCATTGTATTACAATTAGGTTTTGTTTGGATGTTATTGTGTTGGTTGTTTGTTTTTTAAAAATTGTCGTCGGAGTCTTCCAACGCTATATTTCCATACTGTATGATTCGGGATAGTATTTCATACATTTCTCTTTGTGTCTGTTTACTTAATCTGTTGATTAGTTGATTTGTTTCGTTCAAGTTTAATGTTTCTATTGTTTGTGCAGCACTTTCAGGCTTGGGTGTTTGTTGGTATGCGTTATTTATGTATTCTTCATTTTGGAATCTGGAGGTAGAAGGTTGTTGAATATCTCTCATTGGTCTTTCTTGATTATTATGTTTTGCTAGGAATTTTTCAGGTCTGGAATTGGGGAAGATTAGTTGTTGGTTGTGATTTTCTCTGTCATAACCTTGCTGAGTAATTCTTTTTTTAGGGGCATTTTGGAGGACCTGTTGATATGTTCGCTTGTTGTTTTGATTGTTATTGTTTTGGGTGATGACTCTTCTTTGATTTATTTGTATTTTATTTTCCTCGGTTGCCGTTCTCATTCTTGGGGCTGGGAAGTCTCTGGGGTCTAGAATGTATTTGCTTTGTTGTGGATTTTGATTCACGCCTTGGTTTGTTTTGGGACATTGGACCGAAGCTTCATAGAATGATATGTTTTCGAATATCATGGTTTTTTTAATGTTTTGTTGTCTGGCATATTCTGGGCATTTTTTGTCGTTTGATTTGTGGTTTTCTGATTTGCAGTGAAAGCACTTTGTTGTGCAGCTTTCGTGTATCGAGTTGTCTTGTTGTAAGTTGATTGTTTCAGCGCATTGGAAGCATCTTTGCTTTCCTTTGCATAACTTTTTGGTATGGCCATACAAGAAGCAATTATAGCACTGAGTAACCCTGGGAATGTAGGGTACAACTGGGATTTCGAGATTATATAAGCTTATGTACCTGGGCAGAATGGTGCCATCAAAAGTGACTAGAATGGAGTAAGTGGGGGCGTATTCGTATTCGTTGGGTTGTTCTTGTGTTGTGCTATTAGGCCTTCGGTGTAGGTTCATGGTTTTCTGGACTCTTCTATTCAATCGGGTGACATTATTTATTCTAATGCTTTCGGAGCTTGCTGATGAGTTTATGAGTATGTCTCTTTTCAGGGTTTCTGGGTCAAGGTCGATGTCGATTGAACGAACTACGCCCTTACATGATGTGTAATTATAAGGTATAGAGGCTTTTAGTCCTTTGTTTTTTAAGGATTCATTTTCAACAAAATCGTTAGCAGTGGCATAATTAGAGAATTCTACGCCTATCTTGTTCCTTCCTAATACTTTAATTTTTTTAATATTATTCAATTTTAGATCAAATATTTCTTTTGCGATTTTAATTTGGGAGTAATTGGCAATATTTTTATTTTCCGCTTCAACTGTGATAAGGTAAATGGGGTCTTGTTTATGGTACATTCTTTCATATCGGAGCCGGTTTTTTAATTCATTGGAATTTTGTTTTTCTAAATTTATATTTATTATTGTATTGTTCAAAATTGACCTTAATTCATCTGTTAGTGTTGAATTTAAAATTTGACTATAATTATGGTCGTCAGGGGGGTCTTCCCCCCCTGATTCAGACATTTTTTGATTTTAAAAATTGAAAAAAAGAAAGTTCAAAAATGAGGATGAGTTTGAGGAGGTGAAAAATTACAACAGTTGTTAGTAGACTCACCGGTCCAGTTGTTTGTTCTATTTTTGCCTTGTGTAAAAAAAAAAAAAAAAATTGTGGGTAGCGATCAGCTGTTCAACCTTCACGCACGACGGTATTCGCAGCACTGCCAGCTGATAGTTTGGTTTAAAAAATGACAGAGTAAAACATAACCTCAAACAACTTGACATATTCCTTCTCTTCTTTTTTTGGGCTCCAAGCAGATGAAGATTGATAGACTTTGACGCTGTCATTACTTCTGTTCTGTCTGCTGTCAGTTTTTCGCCAGCTGTTTTGTGTTTTCAATTGAACGTTTTGATGATCTATTAATTAATTATATTACTTTTATTTTAATCTGTTGTAATCCTCTATTGGATATGTGTTTTTACAAAATAATTACGTCCGTCCTTTTACTTAAATGTTGTATTCTGTTATATTGATAAACGTTTGGTTGAAATCTAGATTTTTACATGACATCCTCGAGTTATAAGTCTTCTGTGAAAGTGCACTATGCATTCATTTATTATATATTGTTTATTACTGCAATAGAGCTGTCTTGAATTTCAAGTAAGTTTATTGGGCCTTCTGCTTCTAAAAAAAGTGTTAATTGTCTCTTAGTAAGGAGTTTTCATTGTTATTTTTAGCGTCCTGATGAAGTCTGCAATGGTAGACGAAAGCTTGATGATTTGAATAAACAGACACTTAGTAGCACATTACATCGTTTTACTTTGGCTACCTCTAACATTTTGGGGAATCTCATCAATATATATATATATATATATATAAAATATCTTTTTCAATAATATTGTAATTTTTGAAAATAGGATTCATTATTAAGTAATAAGGGGCACTGGCCTTATTAGGTACATGGCCTTATTTGGGTCAGGTACCTTTTATATATTTTTGGAATCGGAAAATTGTGCTTTTCAAGAATATAGAATCAGATATAGGGCATTTCATTTAAAAAAAGTTGAAAGTACGCAAAATTTCAAATTTCTGATCATACATTATGGTTTCTGACGATAGATTCTAAAAAATTAGCTAAAACAGTATAACTTTTGTATTTACACCTATCATCTACCTATAAAGGTAAAGGCTGCAAATGGGGTGCAAAAATATACGGTGACCAAAAAGGTAGTCGGGATGAAAAAGGTATATGTTATAAAAAAAACGGTCCATTTTTCAATAAAAAAAAACATGCTTTCGGCAAAATCTCAAGAGGCACCGTTATCATTTCGGGTACGTCTTTTCACGACGAATCGTTTACGTGACATTCGAAATGTGGTTCGCTTCAAGGTGGAAAAAATGAGCGGGCTCTTAGACTAATAAATACCCCAACAGTAACAGTTTGGTGTGCAATCTCTATTGAGAAAAAATATAGACCATTTTCATTAATGAACCAACTATAATAGAAACTGTATACACTGATAATGTTCTTTTTCCCACAGTTAAGACAGGAGGGTATCTTGCATGATACCTATTTTCAGCAGGATGGTGCCCCGACTTCAATATTCATTAAGAGCAAGGGAATCACTAGATATGACATTTGGGGAAAGACGGATAAGGGGAGCTGTTCCAGTAGAATGGACACCTTACTCTCCTGACTTGAGAGTTCTAGACTTTTTTTTCTGGGGTTATGTCGAGCAAAGATGCGGTAATACTTTGCTCAAAAAACCTGGAAAATCTTAAAGGGGGTGTGACCCTAAAAAACCACTGAAGTCACTTAAACAAGAAAAAAATTATAAGATCTCTCGTGAAAACCTCAGTTCTATATTCAAAATAGTCTCCGAGAAAATTCCTTGTGAAGATAAATTATACAGGAACTTGTGAGGTCACAACTGCCAAAATCGCAGTTTTCTGTGTTCCTTCAGTCGTCAGTGAACCGTAACCTATAATTTGAGTGGCTGCAATTCGTTCTAGGAGATATGTAATTGTCTTTTGCTTTGGAAAATTCTTACCCGTATTAATACTGTCCCCGATGATCCAGAGTGACGTCACAAACACCTAGTTGTAACTTTAACTCGAAAACAAACCATCGTAGCAAGATGCGGTTTAAATATTTATTCTTGGATTTTTTGCAGTAAAGCTTTCATTTTTGGGTCACACCCCCTTTGATGATACTAACAAATTTATTCGCGGTACTCCATTTTTCACGTATATTTTTTTTTCGCTTCCTCTGCGTCTCGTAATAACGCAGGTGAATGGAGAAAAAGCTACATTCTGTCCTAAAATGGCTGCTAAAACAGGCTGTTAACTTCACGCTTTGGCTGTTGTAAATGGCGGCTGCTAGTTTCACACCAGTAAAACGCAATTTTGCAATCATTAGAAAAAAGGAAATCCATGGCGGTTGATCCAGTTCAAGTTGCAGCTAATTTATTAGATTCATATTACATGGGTACGAATTTACCAGAAACTGAGTATATTGATGCTAAAACTTTCATTAATAAAATGAGTACATTTTTTATTATGATATTGTTCTCAGAACAGTTTTGATGGAAATGGTCATTATTCAACAACAGAAGGAATATTTGCCAAAAACTTTCTATGGGATAGTCATAACCATAACATAGAGGTCCAAAATGTCGAAAAGTATCAGCAGTTACATGGTTGTTCGATAACAAAATTAAGTGAGGGTAGGTACGTTTCCTATGAAGCTGTTTCCTATACACGGCTGACGCATATTTTTGACGCAAGTTCAGTGTTTTATACATTTGTCAAAATTCTACCGACCATCAATATTTTTATCATTGCTGGAAGCTTTAATAGTTTACTAGAGCTTGTCAGAGTACCTATTAATAGTCCCATGATATTGAAAAAATATGCAGTTGAATTGACAGTTCTGCTTATTTACCAAATATGAGGGTTCAATACATAATGAGACCAAAGTTGCCATTATAGAAAGTTGTCGGCATTATTTGTCCAATATCCTTGCCAAATTTTCTAAAAAATTCTTGTCCTAATACAGGTTGGGCATTAAATTTTATGCCTGTATTAAAATCGGCAAGCAAATTTGAACTGTGTAAAACGTATTTCTGCGAAAAAAAAAAAATACTGGAAGTCACCATTATTTACTTAGCTTAAGCAATCTTATCTATTAATCTTATCTTCAATTTTAACTCGAATAACCTGAACCTTAAAATAGTATATCACATTTACTTATATTCAGTGTAAGCAAGCGTTAAGACTTTGCATTCTTCATCCCTCAAGATGTGTTGTACTGAAGCAATTACCAGAATAATACTTTTCGTGGTAAATTTTGTATGTTTACTTGTTGGAGTTGCATTGTTATCAATTGGAGTAATCTATATAGTGAACTATACCCAAGTTACGGAAGCTATTCCAGAGGATTATCAAACCATCAAGTACATACCAATCACCTCTATTGTGGTGGGTGCAATAATATTTCTCATATCTTTCCTAGGATGTTGTGGAACGCTTAAAAGTAACATTTTCATGCTCACAACCTATGCGAGCATTTTAGTAGTCATCTTCTTAATTCAAGTAGCTCTGGGCGTTTTTGGTTTATTAAAAATTAACGATAACAACGATTTAAAAACACAAGTTGAAGGACAAATGAACAGCATTTTCCTCAAATACAACCAAACTAAAAATGATACGGAAGCCGTAGATTTGATTCAACAAAGTTTACAATGCTGTGGTACTACATCATCTCAGTTTTGGCCTACAGCAGCAATTCCACAAAGTTGCTATTCGGAAGATAATCAATTATTCGAAAAGGGATGTTCGGAAGTTATGTTCAATTACATTGTGGCCTCTGTGAAGATAATTGCTATTATGGCAATAGCTGTGTCAGTGACCGAAGTTTTAGTTGCTATTTTGGCGTTGGCTTTGTCAAATTGTATCAGGAATAATCAAAGAAAAGGAGCTTATTATTAGAATGCCTAGTTCATTGATTTATTTTAAATAAACTTGTTTTTACACATAATAAGGTGTTTCAATTTATTTCAAACTCGTATCTAATACTGATTTCTGATTTTGAAAACTAAACAGTTTTTCTTATTTAATCCAATATTTTGACTCTTAGTGCCTAGTCAAGACAAAATAGATTTGAAGGGTTTCAGGTTAACCCCAAAAAAATTATTCCAAATTGCTTGAAATTAATTGACACAAACTAACAGTAACCTGAAGAAAAAGGAAGTACCTTATGACATCATTTGTTACAAGCAAAATTAATAATATTCTGCTTCCAGGAAAAAGTTTAGTGGCAAAGTAAACATATTGTAGGTTTTTCCCGAGGAGTGGTTAACTGGTCAAAATCCGTGTAAAAGTTGGTCGAAATCCCAGAAAATCTCATAAGATCTACTCAAAATTCCTAAAAATCTTTGAAATTGGATAAAATTTTACAAAATCTAACAAAATTTCATTAAAACCAAAAAAATCCTACAATATCTCATAAAATCATTAAAATTCCTGAAAAATATTTTCTTTGAAATTCCGGAATCCTTTGGAATCCCCAAAAATCTGTTAAAGTCTCTCAGAATTCCATAATTTAGTAGAATTTCGATAGAAGAATAGAATTCACATTAAATTTTAATTCCTCTCGAATTACATGAAATTTCACTGAAATTCCGATCGAATTACACGAGATCCTAAATTAATTACATGGAGGAATTCTAAATAATTATATAAAATTACACCGAAATTCCCAACATGAAATTTCAGTTCTTACTGAATTTTAGTAAAATTCCACAAAATTCCACAAGTGGAATTCCGAGGAATTAGCCGAAATTCCCATGTAATGACATGAAATTTCAATATATTTACTTGAAGTTTCATCAATATTTTCAGAAATTCTTGGCTATTAAAAGAGAATTTCAGTGAAATTCCAAAAAAATTTTATGAAAATAAATTAAATTTTGAAAAATTCCTTGAAGTTTCATTGGACTTTTGAGAAATCTTGAACGACTATGAATGTGAAATTTCGAAATATTCTCATAAAATTTCAGTGAATTCCGAGGAATTTTTAAGAAATTACATGAAATGTCAATGAAATTCCGAAGAATTTTAAGAAAATTTTGTGGAATTCCAAGATATTTCAGTGGTAAAATTTTGGGTTAAAAAAAAATATGGAATTTTGAAATTTTAGTGTAATTCCGAGAAATTACATGAAATCCTATAGGTACTGTAATTTCGAAAAAATTTGTCTAAAAATTCCATAAAATCTTCTGGTGAAATGTTAAGGAATTTTTATGGAATTACTTATAATTTTCGCGGAATTCCTATGAAATAACTTGAAATTTTAGTGGAATTCCGAAGAATTTCATGAAATTTCATAGTGTAATTCCCAAGAATTTTTGTGCAAGAATTCCATTAAATTTTATGGTGGAATTCCATAGAATCTAATGATGAAATTTGGAAAAGTGATAAGAAATCTTATAGTAAAATTTCTAGGAATTTACGTTTTTCCATTCAAATTTATCACTTGAATGGAATTTCGAGAAATTCCATAAAATCTTCTGGTTAAATTCTAAGGAATTTCTATGGAATTGACTTAAATTTTCGCGGAATTCCCATGAAATAACTATAAATTTTAGTGGAATTTCGAAGAATTTCATGAAATCTTATATTGTAATTCTAAATTTAAAAAAAATTCCACGAATCCCATTAAATTTTATGATGTGAAATCTGCAATTTTTGCGGAGTTTCCATAGAATTCACATTAAATTTTAGTTCCTCTCGAATTACATGAAATATGAAATTTCGAGAAATTACATGAAATTTCAGTGGAATTTCGATCGAATTATATGAAATCTTGAATGAGTTGCATGGAGGAATTCTAAAAAATTACATGAAATTACACCGAAATTCCCAACATGAAATTTCAGTCCTCGTTAAATTACATAAAGAATTTTAAAAATGTTTCAAAAAATTACATGTATTCCGAGGAATTTTCATCGAATTATATGGAGCTACGATGCAATTGCATGGAATTCCAAGGAATTGCCAGGGAATTACATGAAATTTAAGTGGAATTTAGAACAACTTTTATCGTTTCATAAGGAATTGCAGTGAAATTCTGAAAAATCCTAATGTAATTACATGAAGTTTTATTTTTATTCCAAGGAATTCCCAGTTAAAAACATAGCATTTTAGTGAAATTGAAATTCCGAAAAATTCCCATCGAATTACTGAATTTTAGTAAAATTAGAGAAAATTTCACAAGTGGAATTCCAAGGAATTTCCGGCTAAAAACTTGGAAATTCGGTGAAATTTGGAAAAATTCCCATGTAATGATATGATATTTCAATATATTTCGGAGGAATTTCGATTAATTTTCAAGAAATTACTTAAAGTTTCATTAATATTCCCAGAAATTCCTGGACTATTGAAAGAGAATTTCAACGAAATTCTGAAAAATTCTTATGGAAATAAATATAATTTTGAAAAAAAGAATTGTAGTTTCATTGGAATTTCGAGAAATTTTCGACTTATAACGTGGAATTTCAGTGAAATTTCAAAAAATTCTCATAAAATTTTAGTGAAATTCCGAGGAATTTCCAAGAAATCACAGGAAATGTCAGTGAAATTTCGAAATATTTTATTAAAATTTTGTGGAATTCCAGGATATTTCAGTGGTGAAGTTTTGGGGAATTTCAGTAAAGTTTTTAAAAAATTATTGAATTTGGAATTTCTATAGAATTTTGGAGAATTTCAGTGGTTTTTCGAAAAAACAAAAAATTATGAAGTATTCGCAGAATTTCCATCAAATTATATATAATTTCACTTTGTGTCGACTTACATAAAATTTAGATAAAATGTCGAGTAAAATTCCAAGGAATTCTCGTCGAATTACATACATAGAATTCCTTGAAATCTTATTGTGGAATTTCAGTGAAATTACATCGAATCCGAAGAATTCCCTTGGAATTAAACAGAATTTCTATGGAACCATGAAAAATTTCGACAGAATTTCGAAGAATTGAATTAAATTTTAGTGAAATTCTGAGTAATTTCTGTTGAATTACATAAAATTCTAGTGGAATTCCGAGAAATTTCATGAAATCTATTACTGTAATTCCGAGGAATTTTTGTACAAGAATTTTATGATGGAATTCCATGGAATCTTATCGTGAAATTCGGAAAAGTATTATAAAATCTTATGGTAAAATTTCTAAGACTTTCTGTTTTTCTATCCAAATTTGTCATTCGAATGGAATTTCGAGGAATTCCATAAAATCTTCTAGTGAAATTCTGAGGAATTTTTATAGAATTAACAAAAATTTTCGGAGAATTCCCATGGAATAACTCGAAATTTTAGTGGAATGCCGAAGAATTACATGAAATCTCAAGTAGTGTAATTCAGAGAAATTTTTGTCCAAGAATTCCATTGAATTTGATGGTGGCATTCTATAGAATCATAGGATGAAATTCGCAAAAGTATTATGAAATCCTATAGTAAAATGTCTAGGAATTTCCGTTTTTCCATCAAATTTGTCATTTTAATTTAGGATTTCTAAAAACTTTTCAAAAACCCCTAAAATGCTCCAGAATCACCTTAAATTTTGAAAATCTAAAATCTTCTAAACTCCTGTAAAATCGTGTAAAGATTTTCAAAATTTCCAAAATCCTACAAAATCAATTGAGGTAAAGTACCCAGTTGTTGACATATTAAGGGTATCCTTGCTTATGATCACCACACATTTTCCAAATTTTCAAACCCAAGGCTTTGATATATTTTTTGGCGTGATTTCAAACTCATAATTAAATGTTTACATAGGTAAAGTTTGTTTCGCCAGGGTTTGTACATGCCACCAGCATTTGCCTTCCTTGTTTAACAAATAAAAATTGACTGAAACAAATCAATGACGTCAAAAACGTTCGTCGGTTCTTAAACCAGAAGTCATTCATTTTAATTTGTCAAAAAATTGAATGTGTCATATGAATTAATCTACGACCTTTTTTTTTTCAAGTTTCAAGGTCAAGTATGAACCCTGGTGAAACGGACCTTATATTATTTACCCATTATTTTTATTATTTTTGTTATTATGCCAAAAATACCTGAAAGGTGATAAAACCCCAATTGTTGACACCCAAAAAAGTTCACTTCGCCAAAAGTTGACACATTTTTGGTCCAAAGGTTGACATATATTTTTTTACAAAACCAAATTTTATAACGGTCTGTGGAACCAAGAAGTATATTTTTCTAAGTGTAAAATTTTTTAAATGAAATATATGGACATAATAACCAATTATTTTAATTTTTTAAAAATTTATGTTGTGGTTCCAATACTTGACACTCTTGAAACCAATAGTTGACATGTTGCCTGTATCAGTAAAAACCCTGGTAGAAGCATCAATAATGTAAGAATCAAACTTTTTATTAATAAAAAATCACATTCGGAAATTTTTTGTTGGGAAAAAATACAAATTTTGATTCTAGATTGGTAATAAAAGAAATTGCTTGGAAAACATTGGTACATTGTGTTTTTTTCCTGATGTAGCTACAGTAAGACCCCTATTGCAATCATCCAACGTAGCAATCATGTCTTCTGGTAGTTCTGGTGCATATTTCACCAATTTCCATTTTTCATAAGTCATCTCTTGATTTAAACCTGGAAGGACCAATTTGTTGACACTCTAAAGCTCCAAACATTGACAGGGGTAACAGGGCTGTCATCTATTGGATCTACGACCGTTACATTCCCCAAACCCATATCTAGGTTTCTTTTTAATCCAGAGCAATAAAAAGAGACAGACTACAATGTCAAAATATTTTTACCGCCAAAAATCCATAAGTTGACACTAGTGTCAACATTTGGATCACCCCTCGATTTGGGCTCCAATAGTTGACACCCCCCCTTAAAAAGTTTATGCCCGTTATTTAAGAGATAAAACAATTATAAATATGTATTACAATGTATCTTATTAGACAGTAAGTATATATTATTCATAAATTATCAACCCTATACCTCAACTTTGAGAACTTTTGTTTTTAT